TGAAGGGTTCTGGGAGGAAAGGGCTGCGGCTTGTGCGTGTGCCTCTGATTGCAGCTCGTGGAGCATCTACCTGCTACTATCAGACCAGACTGCCCAGGCGTCCAGCCTGCGGACTGAGTAACTACGGGGCTCTCAGCCTCTCCAGAGCAGTCAGTTTGACTAGGCAGCCTATACTGTGCAAACAGACTTAAGAAATCCCCTCAGTGATGTCCGCTCCCTCCTGTCAGTTCTGTTCCTCTAGGGTACTCTAAGACAAGGAGACTCCTTTCTGTCTCTTTTGTAAAATGCTAATCTCTTTTACCTGGGCAGAGCACTCATATTTTAACCAACGCCAAAAGCCTACCTTTAAGTACTGTCATATTGTTCCTAATCGGTTCCTGCAGAGGTGTTCTAAAGGGACAGGAAACCTCAAACCATCACAATGACTAAGTGTGGATTACCAAAAACCTATCAAATAACATGAAGAGATAAAGAGGAATATGACTTTACAGAAAAAAAATGACGACAGCTTTTTATTTTTATTTTTGAAACTTTGTGCTTCTGTATTTGGGTATTTTACCTATAAGAATGGCTGTGCACTACTTACGTGCAGCACCTGCAGAGGTTAGGAGAGGGCATCAAATCCCCTGGCACTGGAGTTAGAGGTTGTGAGCTGCCATGTGGGTTCTGGAAATTGAACCAGCATCTTCTGGAAGAGCAGCCAGAGATCTTTACTGAACGATCTCTCCAAGCCCCACAACATCTTTTTAAAGTATTGAAGTTTGAAGTTATAAGAATTAAAAAACAGTTGGCGGTGGGTGGTGCACACCTTAAATCACAGGATGTGGGAGGCAGAGGCAGGCAAATCTCTGTGAGTTAAAGGCCAGCCTGGTCTACAGAGTGAGTTTCAGGACAGACAGAGCTGTTACCCAGAGAAACAGCTGTACTTATCAGGCTCTGTTTTATGGGGGGAGGTTAAGAGAGGGTTTCTCTTTGTAACAAACAATTCTACCTATCCTGAAACTCACTCTGTAGGCTAGGCTGGCCTCAAACTCACAGAGATCCAACTGCCTCTGCCTCCCGAGTGCTGGGATTAAAGTCATGTGCCACCACTGCCTGGTTGGCCTTCAGTTTTTATATTGCTTTTATTGATTTGAATGAGTGTGTTCACACCCATGAGTAAATGTGTGTGGGAGCAGGGCAACATTTGTGAGTTGGTACTCTTCCTCCCCCTTGTGTTCTGGGGAGTCAAACTCAGGTCATCAGGCTTGGCAGCAAGCAAGCCTTTACTGACCGATTTGTGGGGTTTAATGCATCTTAAATGAACTTTCAACCAGCTCTCCATTTTGGCTCCCCCTCACTATCCTTACAATTCTTTGGCATTTTGGAGATTTTGCATGGTCATCATCGTCATCATCACAGTGAGTGAAACTTACCTATTCTCTGCCATTCCCTCCTTCCCCTTTCTTCTCTCTTGGTCCCTGCATTTGTGTGGTCTCTGTAGAAGGAAAAAAATAGTAGAGTCAATATATTATAAACATCAGAATGTGATAGCTCTTTCTTGGAGGTACTTAGACCTAGAAGAAATCATTGTAGAAAACAGTGATTGTCTTCTCTGATTTACAGAGCTGTTTTTCTGAAGGAGCTTTACAGCCTTGGGATGACTGGTCACAAGACAGTCCTGGCACACCTGGAGTGTCTTGCACTATTGGGCACTGCAAACAGCACACAATAAGGACTAAAGTCACAGGGGTGTGATGCTTTCCTTCCGGAAACATTAGATAAAGGGTTTTGGTGTGAGGAACTTGTTTTACTCCCAAAGCCACCTTTGTATCACAATCAATAAATATGTTTCTGCTTGGCTGTTGAAGGTTCAGTTCAGAAACTGAACCATCCTGCTGCCGCAGAACCTGAATTACATTCTGGAGTGAGCTTTTTCTCTGATGGTTCCATGTAACTCGGAACAGGGCTTGGGCTTGTTACTGTGTTAGTGAGACAATAAGCAAACCTTAATTCATGTTTGTCTCTCCTGTCTTATCCAGAAATCAGCTTTATTAAAGTTGCTCAGGCCTGGATTCAATCCCCAACAACTCAAAAGGCAGTGGGAAATTTTACTTCTACTTCTTTATCTACTTGCCCAAAAACTATTATACCATGAACTATGTAACAACCAGAGCTCCATCTTGAAAATGTCATCCACATCATTTCAATTTAAGAAATCTCTAAAAATCACCTTGACCTTTCCTTGGAGGTCCTGGAAAATCACGTCAGAATATTCTACATTAGGAAGCGTGGCTCAGTGAGAGGTTGTCACTGTGGTCTTCATGTGATGATTACTGTGATGGAAGTTCAAAGCCAACAAATTTGGTAAATGCTGGGTATCTACAATGGGAACTTAAAAATTCTTGTGTGTGTACATGTGGAGGTCAGAGGACAACTTTTGGGGTTGGTTTCTCTCCCTCCCGCTGCTGTGGGTTCTGGATCGAACTCAGGCGTTATCCTTTGAGCCATCTTGCCAGGCTCAAAACTTGTACTTTATAGCCCAAAATAAGACACAATGGTGTCATTAATAGATTAAATTGGTAACACAGGAATTCCTTTTCTTTTCTTTTTTTTTTTTTTGGGTTTTTTGAGACAGGGTTTCTCTGTGGTTTTGGAGCCTGTCCTGGAACTAGCTCTTGTAGACCAGGCTGGTCTCGAACTCACAGAGATCCGCCTGCCTAGGAATTCCTTTTCTGTCTTAGAATCAGCACAGGGAACAGTGGGGACGACATAGGGATGAGTCGGCAGTTTAATCCGTGTATTCTGTTATAATTTAAATAATCTTTTTATTATTTACTTGAGGTTGTGCTCTCATATTTTGAGCTTTTTGAGTTTAAAGTTTTTTGTTGTTATTATTTATTATTTTTGAGGCAGGATCTCACTGCATACAGGCTGGCCTGGAACCAGTCACAATCCTCCTGCCTCAGTCTCCTGTGCTGAGATTATAGCCATAGACTTTATAAATAACACTATTAGACAAAGAACATCCAAAAATGCTGTTGAGTTCATTTTCTGTTGGCCATCTACAGCTGGACGTGCAGCCTACCCTTAAGAGTAGTGTTTTCCCAGTGAGACTCCCTAAGAGAAAACAAAATCTTCATTTGCAAGTGGTTATCAATTGGAGATTGCTTCTGGGTTAGGGACGGAAACGTGTCCACTTCTTTCAGCTCTAGGATCCTATATGGTGCAGACCTGTGCATGCTACCTTAGTCTCTGAATTCATATGTGCACTCATCTTTTTGATTTAGACCTTGTTTTCTTGGTGTCCTCCATCTCCTCTGGCTCTTACACTCTGCCTCCTCTTGAGTTTCCCTGATCCTTGAGGGGAGAGATTTGATGAAGACATTCCATTTAGGGCTCAGTGTTCCAAGGTCTCTCACTCTCCTCTGTACATGTTTATTATTATTATTATTATTATTATTATTAGAGACAGGGTTTCTCTCTGTAGCACTGGATGTCCTGGAACTGTCTCCGTAGACCAGGCTGTCCTTGAACTCACAGAAATCTGCCAGCTTCTGCCCCCTGCCATCATGCCCAGATTCCTCTGTATACTTTCATTTAAACTTTAAACCTCAGCAATATTTTAGCCAACAGAGCACCTTTGCATTGCTTCAGTTATGCCCAGATCGTGGAGTTTCCCCCAAAACCAAGAAGGACACTGAGTCATGTATGTAAAAGCAAAGAGCCCTTATTTAGGTATTTCCTTGGAACATTAGGTACTTTCCCCTTTGGACTGTCCATTCTTGGGTGGTCTCTGGGTGGTTGAGCCTGTCATGGCTGGACCCTACATTTTCCTAAACATGAAATCGCGTGCTATCCTTTTGAATCCCGTCTCCCAAATCTATTCATTCCATTCTTTTTTGGACAAATGTCTCAACCTGTCTGCCTATTTTTTTTTTTTTTTTAATTTTTTAGAGACAGGGTTTCTCAGTAACTTTTTTCGTTCCTGTCCTGGAACTAGCTCTTCTAGACCAGGCTGGCCTCGAACTCACAGAGATCTGCCTGCCTCTGCCTCCCGAGTGCCTGTCTGCCTATTTGAATAGAACAATGTAGACCAAGCTGGCCTCAAACTCAGAGCTATGTCCCCACTCCTTAGTGCTGGGATTATAGGCATACCCAGTCCAAATTCCTAACCAATTAAAGGTTAGGCATTATTTATTTCCTCGGGAAACTCTTCTCCACCCTGTGGAATGTGTTTCTATAGCACTGTTGTTTGACACCAGACATCATATAGTCTCTGTAGGGCATCTAACCAGAGCTGAGTACGTCCAGAACAAATTCAGTAACTTATACATTCTAGAATCTTGAGTTCCAGAGAACCAGGCAAATTGTGGGACACAATAAATGTGACTTGAGCTAAAATGAGAAGTGACCGCAAGTTTGGATGTTTTCCTGTTGGGTATCCTTTCAGTGGGGGAGGGTCCCCCCAATCCTGAGGTGCCAAGTTGCCAGATGTGTCACGGAGTGATAGTGAAGTCACAGAACCCGGTGAGGCCAAGGTGACGCATTGCCATGCTGGCAGGAGAGCAATAAGGGGGTGCAGGTCCGGAGAATCTTCACGCGGGTGTGGGGCGGGAGCAGGCACTCCGCAGCGGGCTCCCCTTTTAAGCTTCCCGCAGGGTCCATCAGGCTGGGAAAATGCTTGGTAACTAGAAAGCTAGGAGCCACACGCCCTGTCACCCCCAAGTGCCACAAGGCCACGGGGCCACACAGCGTCAACTGCTCCGCACTTCCAGTCATTTCACTCTCCTAGCGCCGTCTTATAGACCTTCGCCGTCGGGCAATCCACAGCCATCCCGACCAACGCCACAGGGCAGGCGGCTCCTCGGACCTCCCCAGCCGAAAGGAGATGGCCCGCGCCTTCTGAGGCGGAAACCATGGGCTTGGTATCAGAGCAGCTGCTCGGGCCCACGCCGCAGCCTTAGGGCCTAACATCCGGCCCGCAGCGCTCACAGCGCGAGGCCTTCGCACCAGCCCCGCCGGAAGGCACGGCCGGAAGGGGCGGGCACTGCGCCCGGTGGGGCCTTCGCGCCATGGCTTCTCGCGGCGTCGTTGGCCTCTTCTTGCTCTCCGCTCTCCCTCTCCTGTGTCTGGAGCTACGGCGCGGGATCCCGAGCCTCGGTGAGTGTTGTCTCCCTGCCTCTCGGCGCTCACGGCTCACCTGGGTGGTGCGTGCAGTTCCTTTCTGCCCATGGCGCCTCCGCGCGGCGTTGACTACAATTCCCAGAGTCCATCGCGCCCGCTCCTTTTCCGGAGCCCCCTCCATTTCACGGGAAATGGTCTCTTGGGCTCTGGCCAAGGTCTACTTGGAAAGGGGATATGTGCGAGCTGTTGCACTTCAGAGTGTGATGGCAATGGGAAATAAATAGGCTGTTAGCATTGGGGCCTCCCGAGCATTGAGACGGAGTCCTAAAGTCGAGAAGCCGTCACCTGGAAAAGAGGGTGAAGCGGAGGGGAATGTTCCAGGCGAAGCCCTTTGTGGCGAGCTCAAGGAATGGTAGAAGGGGAGTCCTCAAATAACATTTATTGAATTCTTATTCTAAGTCAGACACTGTTTGCAATCTCAGTCTCCATTGCTGCTGGAAGGATTTGTAGGTACTGTTAGCGTAAAAACAAACACAACAACAAAAACCCGCCCGAAAGAAAAACCAGCTCTCACCCCAGAGGGACTAAGAGTTTATTTTAGAGTCAAATATGAATGTCCGTGGTTTTGGAACACAGATTTAGGGTACCGCAAATACCACATCCCACAGTTCCGTAAAGTTTTTGTAGTAACAGAAAACGTCATAAAACACTCCAAATACATATTGGTAGGTCAGGGAGCGGGGTTATTGTAATGTGTAGGGGAAATCTCCCAGAGGCCTCAGGTGCTGACCACTTTCTGAGGCTTTGCGTTGCTGGAAGCTAGTGGACTGAATACCTTCTGTAGCTTTCCCGTGATAGCCATAGGACTTTAGATCATAGAGGTGGGCAATGAGTGGCTGTTAAAGGGGCTCAGGATAGCCCAAGATGCTTTGTGATTAGTGTCTGGACCAGCACAGTTCCACAGTCTTAAGTTCGGAGCTAATCTTCTTTTGTAAGGGGGCTTCTTTGGGGGAACTTGAGTCCACAGTACTGTTAAAGTTCTTATCTCACCTTTGAGCATGTTGTGACCTGCTGAGGAGGGCAGGTGCCTTCTTGGAGGTAGTTTGGTTTTGGTTTTTCTTTGTGTGTGTGTGACAGAGAATTAAACTAGGTTTAAGGTTGGCCTGCAACTTGAAGAAACGTCCTGCCTGAGGCCCCCAGGTGTTGAGGTGATAGGGGAGAAAAGTATTCTAAGAAGACAGGTGGCTAAGGCCCAGAACCAAATCAGTAAAGAAGCAAATAGGCATTTTGGGCCAGCAGGATGGCGCCACTGGTAATGGTGCTTCCTGCCAAGCTCGTGACCAGAGTTGCATTCCTGAAACCCATGTGAAGGAAAGAGACAACTGAGTCTTGCAAGTTGTCCTCTGACCCCATGTGCCTGGGAGGATGCACTCTGCCCAACCCCCAGTGCCCCAAAAGACCAATTCTTGAAAAATGAATGTAGTCATTTTTTATTTATTTATTATATATACAGTGTTCTGCCTGCATGTATGCCTGCAGGCCAGAAGAGGGCACCAGAAATCATTACAGATGGCTATAAACCACCATGTGGGTGCTGGGGATTGAACTCAGGACCTCTGGAAGAGCAGTCAGTGCTCTTAACCTCTGAGCCATCTCTCCAACCCCATGGAATGACTAGCTAAAATAGTACTGGAATTGGACAAGACACTACTGTCAATCTTACTTATAAGCAAATCAAATCTTATGCATTACTAATTCTCATAATATTTATAATACAGCTGAACACTGTCTTCTTAAAACAGGATGTTTCTTCAGAATTATTTTCTGTTTGTTGTGGCCGTGAAGGCCAGGTTGAATTGTAGGGCCCCAGGAGGCTCAGGAAGAGTCAGTACCCACATTCTTTAGCATCTCCTGTGCTCTCTGGGGCAAACAGTCCTTTATTAGTAGTAGCAAGGAGAGTGAGAATTTTTCATAGAAAAATGTTTCTTTTCAACTTCTCTTTCTAAGGAATTAAAGATCTCATCTTGCTGAGTGGCCGGATATTCCTGTTGCTTGCCCTGCTGACCCTCGGCATCTCTGTGGCCACCTCCTGGTTTAACTCACCTAAACCTTCCCGAGTTCACGTGAAAGGTATGTTTATTACTCGTGTTACCTTTACATTTTTTTTTTACTCAAAAAATAAAAAGTAACCTTTTCTACTAAAATTTCTTCCTTTTGTTTATTCTACAATAAGAACTATTGGACCATCAATTTACGATGTGTAATGTCCAGTGAGAATCTGTTCTCTCCTTCCATCATGTGGGCTCCGGGGGTGGAGCTAAGGTCTTAAGGGTTTGGCAGTAAGGTCCTTACCCACTGGGCTGTCTCGCCACCCTTAGGTGCCATGGCATAGAGAGACGGCAGTGCGTAAGAGCACGGGCTGCTCTTCTAGGGGACCTGAGCTCTGTTTCCCACACCCACATGTTTCTCGCAGCTGTCTGTAATGCTAGCTCCTGGGGATCGGACACCCTCTTCTGGCCTCCATGGGCTCTGCACGGATGTAGTACACAGACATACATGTCATACACATAAAATTAAAAACAAAGCCAAACAAAACAAAAAGCCATATTCTATGTGGCCTTAATACAGATTACTTTTAAAACTAATAGCTGTTTTTAAATGTACTTAACAAAAGTGGCCCAGTAATGAATTTGTTTTTATTTTTTAAGATAGGGTGTACTGTAACCCAAGCTGGCTTGGTACTTCCTACATGGCTAAGGAAGACTTAGGACTTCTAATCCTCCTGCCTCCTTCCCCTGACTGCTGAGATCACAGAGTGCACCAACAAGCCTGGTCAAATGTGTTACCTAGCATTTTGTGTGTGCTAGGCAAGTACTCTACTAAGCAGGCTACACCCTCAGCCTCTGTAGTTTATTGCTATTAAAATATAAATAAATACAATGGGTAGTATAAATTAAAGCCTTTAAAAAAAAAGGTTTATTTATTTATTATGCAGGCCAGAAGAGGGCAACAGATCTCATTACAGGTGGTTGTGAGCCACCATATGGTTGCTGGGAATTGAACTCAGGACCTCTGGAAGAAGGAGCAGTGCTCTTAACTGCTGAGCCATCTCTCCAGCCCTAAATTAAAGCCTTTTCACGTTAACCAGGCCAAAAACAAAAACAAAACAAACAAACAAACAAAAAAAAAAAACCATAATTGCAAAAGATTATTCAACCCCATAATATAAGATAAGGTGGGTTGCTTTGGCGATTCCCAATCATAGATTTTGTATTTTCTCTGCTTTGATCTCTTAAACTTCAGAGTACTCAGTTTGGAAATTAAGCAAGAACACTGTAACTTCCATTAGGGATTTTGTGTGAGCTGTATTTCCAGGGTGTATGTGACCTCAGCTGTTGAAGCATTAATAGCACGTGTGCCCTGGTTTCAGTCCTTAACACCCCCCAAAAAAATCAAATAAAAAAGTGAAAGTGTGTTGCTGTGGAGAAGATGGTTTGCTGCTTACACTGCTCCATCAGCCCCTGAGGTCCGCTGTTTATAAATATGGAAATGTGCCTGGTGGTCCCTGCCCTCGGAAGTGGTTCATTCGCATCATTTGAGTGTGGGTCACGAGGCTCAGGTATGGGTTGATAGGTTATTGGCATAATCTTCACTGAAGGCTGATGCTACATTATATGTAATAAAAAAATGTGTTCAGGCTGGGTATGGTGGCCCAAGCTGCTGTCATAGTGACTGGAAGCTGAGGCAGCAGGACATCCAGTTATAGGCCAGTCAGGGTTACAGGAAGAAATTTGTTAATTGGTTATATATAATAATAAATGTTTGTGAATTGTTTCAGAACAAAATTTTTGCTTGGCAGTGGTGGCGCACACCTTTCATCCCAGCACTTGGGAGGCAGAGGCAGGCAGATCTCTGTGAGTTTGAGGCCAGCCTGGTCTACAAGAGCTAGTTCCAGGACAGGCTCCAAAGCTACAGAGAAACCCTGTTTCAAAAAAAACAAAACAAACAAAAAACTCTATTGGATAGAGTTCATATGCAAATGACTTCGTTTTTGCTGGTTGAATGTATTTCATTATTTGAAAAAATATGTAGTGCTTTGAAATGTTCAAATGTAGTCTTTTAACATGTTAAAAATCTATAGATTAGTTTTTTAGAGAAAATGTATTTGATTCTTTGATACTTGAGAATGAAAAAGTCCTTTTATGTTTTGGTGTCAGAAGGAGAAGAGAATGAGAAAAGGCAACGACTCGTGAGGAAAAAGCAACAGGAGGCCCAGGGTGAGCAGGTAAGGCTCGGCCCTCAGGACTCCTGTGGGTGCTGTTGCTGTGTCTGTGCTCAGAGGTCTTTGTGTGAACAGTTACTGGTGTCTAATTCACAGGCCTAAGATGGTGCCCTCCCTCCTCCCCCGAAACTAGCTTTCTTGTACTGCAGGCTGACCTTGAATTTAGAAAGTGACTAAGGCTGACCCTGGATGCTGTTCTTCTGCTTCCTCTCCCTAAATGCTGACCCTTTAAAATTAGAATTAACAATCCTTATTAATTACATATTCTTGGGTCTGTGTGGGTCCCAGGGATTGAACTCTGGCGGGTGACCAGGCTTGATGGCAGGTGCCTTTATCACTTTGACAGTTGCGCTTGCCTTGACCACTGTTGTAGCCAATGCTGGCCACGATTTCAGGATCCTCCTGCCTCAGTTCAGCAGCTGGAGTGCTGAGATCAAAGGTGTGTACCACCATGCCCAGAACATCCTTGTTTTACACGTGTAATTTTTTTTTTGTTATCTCAGAGTCTTGGTTCTGTTGCTGTGAAGAGATACTATAACCAAGGCAACTCCTATAATTGAAAGCATTTAGTTGGGGTCTTGCTTACAGTTTCAGAGGCTTAGTCCATGATCATCATGGCAGGGAGCATGGTGTCAGGGAAGTGTGGTGCTGTAGAAGTAGCTGATCTCAGGGAGCGGGCAGAGTGAGAGAAGCTGGGCCTGGCATGGGCTTTTGAAACCTCACAGCTCACCCCCACTGACACACCGCCTCCAATGAGGCCACACCTCCTATTCAAATTTATGATTCTATCTTAGGGTCACTGTTGTGATGATGAAACACTATGACCACAGCGCCTCTTATAAAGGAAAGCATTTAACTTGCTTCCAGGTTCGGAGGTTCAGTCCATTGTCATCACGGTGGGAAGCATGGCGGCCCGCAGGCAGACATGGTGCTGGAGAGGGAGCCGAGAGTCCTACGTCCTGATCAGCAGGCAGCAGGACAAGAGAGTCTGGGCCTGGCTTGAGCTTCTGAATTGTTCACAGCCCATCCCCAGTGACATACCTCCTCCAACAAGACCTAATAGTGCACTCTTAATAGTGCCACCCCTAATGACTAAGCATTCAGATACGTGAGCATGTGGGGCCGTTCCTATTACAACCACCACAGGGCCTATGGAGCCATTCTTATTCAAACCGCCACAAGTTTCAAGCCTTGCTCTTGATTTATGACTTTATAGACAATGTGAACATTGTAGTAATAACACTTTTTTTCTTGAACAGGCCAGCAGATATATACAGAATGTTTTAAAACCTCAGCAGGAAATGAAATTGAAGAGATTAGAAGAACGGTTTTATCAGATGACGGGTGAAACCTGGAAATTAACTCCTGGCCACAAACTCGAGGTTGGAAATGCTGGTGTCATATTTTGAATTTTATTATTTGTTTCTTGGTGGTGGTGGTGTGTGTTTGTAGACCAGACTGGCCTTGAACTCACAAAGATCCGCCTGCCCCCCCCCCCCCCCCCACTCCATAATGCTGGGATCAAAGGTGTGCGCCACCACCGCCCAGTGCGGTTCTTAGAAGGTTAGTAGGTGAGGAAGTAAGGAGTTACTGAGCCTGTATTTGAAAACTCCATTAGTGTTTGGTTGATACCCCGTGAGGCCTGCTCTTTTCCAGGGCAAGATGTGGGAGTGGGGACTGGGAGTAGTGGAGGGGGGGTTGCAGTTGGCATGTATGAGAGAATAAATAAAAATGAAAAAAGAAACTTCCTCCTTAAATTATGTGGCTGAGGAGGAAGTTTTGGTAAGGTATGCTAGTTGCTTTAGAGAACACCTTAAGGAATTATTTTTGTCCAGTTTCACAGAAGTTAGTCCGCTCTGGTTGGAGGGTGTGGTGGACAGAGCAGAGGCTGTAGCGTGGAGAAGGAGATGGAAGGCAAAGGGTGTATTCAAGGATGTCAGGTCAGACAGAGCTCCAGGGACTTGTTCCCAGTGACCCGTTTCCTCCGCTTCAGCCCACTCCCCATCTCTCCACACTTCCCAATAAGTCATCCTATTCTGGATCCATTGGCATCCTTTTTTATGTCATGGGATTGTTCAGAGACACTTGGAGGGGGCTTTACTAATTCTGTGGAGATGTTGTATCCAGGTGGCCAGTGGAGCCACTGCAGTATATGATACCATAAAGTGGAAGGCGCTGCAGGAGGTAATAGTGTAAAGTGTAAGGCTGCAGTAGATAACAGTGTAAAGTGTAAGGCTGCGGTAGATAATAGTGTAAAGTGTAAGGCTGCAGTAGATAATAGTGTAAAGTGTAAGGCTGCAGTAGATAATAGTATAAAGAATAAAATGTTGCACTTTCTGAAATACTTTGCTTTTTAGAGTGAAGAGTTACTGTGTAGTTGAGTCCAAATTAGAAAACCTGGATGTTTAATAGAACATTATATTTATACTCTGATTATATTTAGCTATGGATGTTTTGCAGTCACATACTGAGACATTTTTTTACATACATGTTGTCATGTGACTTCCTGGGGAGGCTAAAGCAAGTGCCTATTTACCTGAGATAGGGCGTGAGTGAATGGCCAAGGACATGACTCCATCAGTCTAGTGTGTGAGCCAGTGACTTACAGGAGTGCAGGTGAGCACCTCCGCCCAGGAGAACAGCCATCTGCATCCAGTCACTCAAAAGCTGGTGGTTCCCCAGCGATCGGACGCTTGTTTGCGAGACAGAGGCAGGAGATGCTGAGGTTCAGGGCCAGCCCGGACTCCGTGCAGGCCAGCCAGGGCTGCCTTCCAAGTTCTGTACCAAAACACAAACCAGAACCAAGAGGAGCAGGGCTTTGTCAGTGCTTCTTAGCTGGGAAATGGGGATGGGATGATGGGGCCTTGGAGCTAGGTAAAGGCAGGTTCCGGAGCTCATTAGGCCTCCTGTTTTCTTGTCCAAAGAGATTGTGCGTTAGCTTTCTGCATCTAAAAATGACAGTTAAAAAAAAAAAAAAACTAGCCGGGTGGTGGTGGTGCATGCCTTTAATCCCAGCACTCGGGAGGCAGAGGCAGGCGGATCTCCGGGAGTTCGAGGCCAGCCTGGTCTACAAGAGCTAGTTCCGGGACGGGCACAAAAGCTACAGAGCTGTCTCGAAAAACCAAAAAAAAAACAAAAAACCTAACCATTATGACTGGTCTAGTTGACAGAACATGCCTCTTTTGAATTGTGCGGTTGTTTTTGACCAGGGGGATGAAGATTTGGTGCTTGGAAATTCGAGCCAGACATCTTTTGAAACAGCAAACAGGGAAGCAGCCAGAAGACGGAACTTGCCCAAGCTTTTAACTGAAGTCTCACCACCTGCTCCACAGCCCGCCAAGAAGGAGGTTTGTGCACATCCCTCACTGAGTGTGTTCTCTGGAGAGGTGGCTACTAAGGAAGAGGATGGCTTTTAACACAGATGCTGTCTTAGCACCTTGCAGAGGGTCAGCTGCACAGATCCTTGGTCCTGTTTAGTAGCAAAAGTCTGGACCAGGGGGCTGGAGAGATGGCTCAGAGGTTAAGAGCATTGCCTGCTCTTCCAAAGGTCCTGAGTTCAATTCCCGGCAACCACATGGTGGCTCACAACCATCTGTAATGGGGTCTGGTGCCCTCTTCTGGCCTGCAGGCATACACACAGACAGAATATTGTATACATAATAAATAAATATTTTATTAAAAAAAAAAGTCTGGACCAAATTTAGAGGAAAGCTAGAAGATAAATGATGGTGTGGAGATGGAAAGGGTGCTCACGGAGGGAAGCCTTTCTCCTGGGGGTCTTCAGACGGGTTGTGTGTCCTGAGAGTGGTCTACACCGTCTACAGGCTGGATACCCTCATTTGACATGCCTGCCGTCACAAGTATTTCAGACTTTAGGATATATTCATGTAGATATTGAGATACTGGGATAGAGCACAAGTATAGACATTCATTTCTATATGCCTTATTTACATAAACTGAAGAAGTTTAGTCAGTGTCTCTAAGTTTTCTGTGCATAGTGGCACGGAATTGTTTCTGCCTCCTAGGTGCTTGGGACGACAGCCTGCGCTGCAACCGAGGCTTTTCCTGTTTCTTTAAATAGTGCATTTTTACATACTATCCTAGAACATCTTAAAAGACAGATTTTAGGGAAGCATGCTGGCGGTTGATTGCAGGGCCTGGTGCATGCTAGGCAAGCACTCGATAACTGGGCTGCCTCTCCCAGTGTGAACTCCCTCTCTCTTATTTATTTTTTGAGACAGAATTTGAGATTAAAAAATATATATGTATTTGCTGTATGTGAGCATACATGAGACTGTCAAGGCTTGAGTACAACCTATGGGAAATCATTTCTTTGGGGATTGAACCCAGGTTGTCGGCAGGTGTCTTAGTCAGTGTTCTGTTGCTGTGAAGAGACACCACGACCATGCAACTCTTTGGGTTTCTCTGTACAGCCCTGACTGGCCTGAAACTCACTCTGTAGACTAGAATTCACTGAGATCTGCCTGGCTCTGCCTCTGGAGTGCTGGGATTAAAGGTGTGTGCCACCACACCCAGCTCTATTTTTGTAAACTTTAAAAAAACTTGTATAAAAATTACAGTAGTAATTGTGTGTGAATAGTACACACGTGCAACAGTCAGGATAACTTTGCACAAGTTGCTTCTCTTTTTCCACCATGTGGGTCCTAGGAATCAAATCAAATCAGCTTTAATCGCGTCACCAGACAGACCTCACTGTGAATGTTTGATAGAGGTCTATACAAAGAAGCCTTTTAAACCGAGATGCATGGAACCTACTGCAGAGGACTCTTCTTGAGAGTTCTCACTTCTTGGAAATGTTTTTTACTTTCCTTTCGTTAACACGCAGCTTTCTTTAGGTTCCTGACTTACCTGACGAACCATCAGAAACAGCTGAGGAGGTACGTTTCTCGTCTCCGTTTCCTTTGATGTCATCAGGTAGGGAAGAGCAGGTTCCCGCGGCTGACTCGGAGTCACGTCTCTGAGGATGGCATCAGGCTCAGCCGAGAGCTGCGGTGGGAGGTGGGAGGCAGTCTGCTGAGTTGTCTTGTAGAGCACACCCACTCAGGACCAGTAAGTTGGCGCTTACCCCAGAACAGCAGCATTGAGACGGGCGGGTGGCTTCACCCTGGTCCCCATTTAAGCTGAAACTGCAGCCGCGTGTGCATTTTAAAGAGTGGCTCACTGTTGCTGGGCTGGGGCGGGACAGAGCCCACCTGCCTCGTCATGGAGGGAGCCTGTCTTGTTTTCTGCCATTGGCCATCTTAGTTATAGGTGATCGTCTGATGCAGGGGGACCACGTGTCTTTAGAGCCATGAGGTTACTGGGCAAAATGTCCAGAAAGAGAACTGCCCGTGTCCCGTTTTGTGAAGTTCGGCGTCCTTAGAGTCCTCAAAAAAACAGGTTTTTGAAACAGTCATGCGGCTAATAGTCTGTTTTCTCAACACATTTGTAACATTTAAGTTTGGAGCTTTGTATATCTTAGGAAAATCTGGAAGTTACTCACAGGTAAAAGACAACTGAAGAAAGCAATCCATTGCTTTCAGTGGAACATTGGAGTTCCTATCTGGACTTTTGTTCTTGAGATAAGGTTTGCTTCGTAGTCCAGACTGACCTCCAATTTGCAATCTTCTTGCCTCAGCTCCTGTGGCTTACCTGAATATTTGTATTCTCCAGGTAGTTACCGTTGCCCTTCGATGCCCAAGTGGGCGTGTTTTGAGGAGGAGATTTTTCAAGTCTTGGAATTCACAGGTGAGGAAATGAAATATTGACTTATCAAATTTGTCAATAGTGTGTTCAAATGTAGTGGGATCATAGTGTGGATATTCTACATTGCATAAGGTTTGATAATTTCTTTGAATTGTGATCTCTACATTTATATTTTTTTCCTATTTTTTCTTCCTTTTTAGTGTTAAGGATAGTATAACTAGTCTTCCTCTGTCCCACGGCCAGCTCCCAAATAAACAACACGGAGACTTAATAACAATAAAGCTTCAGCTGATAGGCTTGTTACTAACTAGCTCTTACAACTGAAATTAACCCATTTTTACCAATCTGCGTTTTGTCTTTATTGCCTTTACTCTGTACTGCCCATGCTGCTTCCTCTGTGTCTGGCGACTCTGCTTCTTCCCAGCATCCCGTGTGCCTGAAAATCCTGCCTATTAGCCATTCATCTTTTTATTAACCCAATCAGAATGACACATCTTTAGTGTACAAAAAGATTTTCCACAACACAATAGATCTAAGGCTTCAAGCAGGCATTCTCTTACTGAGCTATATTTCCTTGGTTGTTTAATTACATGTTAGTTGGTGGGGAAAATGGTAGTTTTGAGCCCAGGGTAGCCTAGAACTCACTGTGTAGTCAAGGCTGGACTGAACTGTGTCAGCTTCCCAAATGCTTGGATTGCAGGCAATGAGATACTATACCTGGCAGCCTGTTTTAAAAATAGTTATACTGGGCTGCAGGTATAAGAGTGCAGTCCTCCTACCTTGGGGGTTATGAATATGACACCTGGAAGGATTGAGTTTGGAGCCAGTTAGACCCTGACTCAGAATCACCACCAACAGAAAGAGATTTTTGTTTGTTTGTTGAGACAGGGTTTCTCTGTAGCCCTGGCTGTCCTGGAATTTACTTTGTAGACCAGGCTGACCTCAAACTCTTGGAGATCTACCTGCCTCTGCCTCCCAAGTGCTGGCATTAAAGGCATGTGCCACCATGCCTGGCAGAAAGATGTCATGTTGGAAGTGTAAATGTAGTGGCAGAACGAGTGCTTAGCATGTGCAAAAGACGTGGGTTCAATTCCTACGCTTCTAAAAAGTCTTAATTAAAATTATTACATATTTATTATATAGACAAGGCATTATTTGATACTTTGGTCCCTTGGAACATTATATCTTTGTCATGTGTCTGTTTTTTGTTGTTGAGACACAAGATCTTGCTGTTGCCTGGGCTGGTCTCAATCCCCCTAACTTTTGGCTCCTGTAGTTTTGGCGCCTGTAGTCTTCCAGCTAAAGTTTGAGTAGCTGGGACTATAGCTGTATAGAAATACATTGAACTTACTTTTCTTTTCAAAGCAAAACATGCTTTAACAGTTCATGTTTTGAGGCAAATGAGCTTTCAAAAGGATCTGAAAATTTTTATGCCTACTGTTTTCTTCTTTGTGGTGCTGGACTTTGAACCCAGTGTGTAGATGGTAATCTTCATGGGTAGTTACAGGGCTTTGTCTCAGGGGCCCAAATATATCTCTTTTGACAAAAGCTCCTTTGTGATTTTGATGCGTTGTTGACTTAGATTTTGATTCAAACTTTTGTTTCCAAATGTTTTTTGTTCTCAACATGTCATTGAATATTCTCCATCCCCTACTTAGGGATGAGTGTTGGTAGGCCTACACTCTCTCTCAAATGAAGGCATTCAAGGTTATTCGTGTCTCCAAACTCATGACGTACTGTAACAAGGAGGGATCAAGCCTGCTTGTTTGTTGGGGTTTTCTGTCCTGCCCGGTTCCCCACAACTGTTTAGCCCCAAAGAAAATCAATCACATATAGATCTCCATAAATTATAAAGCTGATTGGCCGATTAGCTCTAGCCTCTCACTGGCTAACTCTCACATCTTGATTAACCCATTTTTCTGATCTATGTTAGCCATGTGGCTCAGTACTTTTTTTCAGTGGGGCAGCTCACATCCGGCTGCTTCTGTGGTCTGGGCAGGAGTGGGAGGAATCAACTTCTTCCTTCCCAGAATTCTCCTGTTCTCATTACAGCATTTCTACTTCCTGTCTGGTTTTTCTGCCTATACCTCCTGCCTGGCCAATCAGCGTTTATTTAAAACATGATTGACAGAATACAGACAATTCTCCCTTACCAACGTACTTAAAGTCTAGACAGTTTCTTTGAAGATGTGGAAAGTGCTTCTCATTCCTCAGGACATGATTACAGAGTGACAGAACTGTTTAATGTCACTTTGAGACAGATTCTGTAGGAACCTTTAGTCTAATACTAAAATCTTTTTTTCTTCTAGGTCTTATTTGACTGGATGATGAAAATTGGGTACCACAAATCCCTGTACAGCCTTTCTACTTCCTTTCCCAGACGACCTCTGGAAGCGGACGGAGACTTGTCACTGGAGGACATAGGGATAACTGTGGACACTGTACTTAATGTGGAAGAGAAAGAACAGAGTGGCCAGTAAAATCGGAACTACCTGTTGTCCTTCGAGCGTTCACATTAAAGCCATGCTGTACGTTGTGCTCCTCTTGTTCACAGGAGCATACCTACATACAATGGAAGAGGATTGCTTGATATGGAAAGCTTTGTGGACTGTACCATCTTACAGTGTACCCAAGTGAGAACAAGGTAAAAAGGATGCAAGACATCTGACAGGTCTGGGCCAGGCAAGGGGGCACATGCCTCCCGGAAAGTCTGAGTTAGACCGTCTTAAAACAAACCAATTAGCTGATAAAGAACTGTGATTTCTGCTTCTTGAATCTACAGTATTTAACAATTCAGCCAAGCCCTTCAAATCAGTAGGAATACTGATTCCACTGTATTTCTAAAAACTTAAAAAAAAGTCTTTAACGAAATTTCAGAGTGGACTGATTCTATCTAATTTTGACCTAAATCTGAGGGTGAAGTTTTTGCCACAGTAACTTTGGGGAACACATTGAAACTGCAGTAAGCATGGCCATTGTTGGTAGGTGCATTTTGTGGGAACACACTTTTACTGGAAGTCAGAGTTTGAGCTTATTTTTGCTCTCAAAGTTTTTGACAACAGCTGTGGCTACAAGCTAGATTCTGACCAATTAGTATTTTGGGTGTATAGGTGAATCTGTTCCACCTGGACCAAAGGTTGGGGAATTCAAGTCTCCTTCTATCATGTTAAAAAAGTCTGTTTGCCCCTCCTCCTCCTCCTTTTGGAGTTAAGTATATAAGCGTGTAGAAAATAAACGAGGCGGATTCAGTATTCACTGAATGTCCCTCCTGATGCTGTTCTGTGTTTGTCTTTTATCTCTCTCCTCCTTTTACTTAATAACCCTAATCCTCATGCTCTTACCCTGGAATGCATGAGAAGCTGGTCTTTGACAGTATTTGGAGTGTGAGCTGTTGTATACACTGATACCCTTAAGAGTCTGTCTTCAGAGATCTTTCTTAACCTTTGATATTTTGGAGATGGAGTCTCATAGAGTCCGGGGTGATCTTGAACTCTCCTGGATCCTCCTGTCCCCCATCCCAAGTGTTAGGATTACAGGTCTAAACCTCTGCTCCCAGTTTATGAAGTGGTAGGATTTCATTATGCCCAGCAAAGTCTATACTAACTACATTTCAGCCCCATATTTCCTATCTTTCCATTTCCAAGCTACCCAAGTCTTTGCTTTTGGCGTTTGTCTTAATCACTCTACAGCTAGATTTAGAGAGGCTAGAGCCTGGTATTCATGACCTTGGAATAGTAACCATCACTGCTGATCTGAACTCAGATCAGTTCATTACTATTTCTAGGTTAAGGGAGATAACCTGTCTTGGCTTTTAAAGTTTCTTGTTTATTTAGTCTATCGTTATTAAAGCAGACAGTCCAAATTTTGTACTTAAAATTATGAACAAATCAACACAAACCACCCAATGAAATGTTTAGAAATGTAAAAAATGGCTCTTTAATGGTCTAAAAGTTATCAGCAAATATTCGATTTTGTTCTGCTTCTAAATGTAAACTATAAACAAACATTGTATAACCTGGACCTGAATATAAGGCCTGCAGTGAGGACCCGTAAACTCAGAAGTATAGCTGCTTCTTTTTATTACACATCAGATGTCTGTGGCACGGGGAGGTAGAGTCAGGAGAACCAAGAGCTCAAGCTCTTCTGGACTATATGAGACCATCTCAAAAGCCCAAAGTAAATGAAAAAAAAAAAAAAAAAAAACCACCAACCACAGTCTTGAGTATTTGTATCAAGTTTTAAAATGCAGTGCTTCCATTTAATGCATACCACAGTTAATGTTTTTGTTTAAACTGGAAAGTTTATTTGTTCAGTCCACCAAATAGGATGCAAGCACTGTCAGGACAAATACACAGAAACAATGCAGATCAACATCAAACAGTAATTTAGTTTAAATGAAAGGAAATCTCTTTAATGTTATGACAACATACTCCCAAGAATCTCTTCTTCAGTTAGTATACATTTCAATAAAATAAAGGGTAATGAATTAAGTGGAAGTCAGCTTGTGAAATCTTAAAAATAAAACTCTGACTCTATTAATCCATGCCAGTTAAACAATGTAACTAAATTTCCAAGTGCAAAGGAGATGAAGCAGTCAGTGACCCTTTTTGTTTAACCAGCCAAAAAGAATGCTTCCTAGGACACAGCAGGCAGACTGATCTAGAACACAGTGTAGTAAGTTCATCTCAAATTGTGCTAAACGCTCATCATTAGTATGGCACATTTGGTCCATGATGTAGTTTAATGTCAAGACATACCACAATTTGTTACAGAAACACATAGATAACTGTTGTTTTTAAATATATATATGTATATATATATTTTAAAAAGCCAGGTATACTTCCACATACAAAGAAAGGTCCTGGGGAGGAATTTATAGGAAGTAGTCTGGGGTACGCCGGGTCACATGAGGCTCTCCACGACGAGGTGCTGGGTCAAACTGAAGACTAAACAGAGAAAGTGAGTCAGCAGGTAAGCCAGGAGACACTGAGTGGACAAAGCCATCCTTCCTGCACCCTTCTGCTACCACTGTACTCCGTGTGGCTGCAATGACCCTGAGTGCGTCACTTCACAGAGCTATGGTGAAACTTAGTGGCTGTTAGTGCCTGGCAGAAAAGCCTTGTGACGCCATTATCAGTTGAAGGGCCTAGGATCAGTGCTGTTGCTCGCCATCACGATGCTGAATCAGGGTATTTACACCTGTCTTCAGGCACAGCAAGTTCCCTTCTGTGAGGTTTGCTGATTTTAGTCAAAAGAACACTAAATTTTATCAAGTGCCTTTTCTGTCTGTTAAAATTACCAGTTCCTTTTCCTATTTTTTTTTTGGGGGGGGGGGGTCCATTTTCATATTTTGAACCAACTCTGTGGTCTTGAGATCAATCCCATTTGAATTTTCCTTCTCCAAGCAGTCCTGAGAGGATGTAACCTCAGGCATGCACACAGACTTCACAACTGTCAAGGTAAGTATTCATTTTCCATTTTTGGTGCTGTGGTTGAGACCAGGTTTCACGTAGCCTGGAATGGCCCCAAACTCAAGAGTAACGAACGGTCCATTCTGAACTTCTGATCTGTGCCTCTACTTTCTAAGCGCCGGGATCACAGGCAAGCATATGTCATCATGTGGAGCAAATGTTTTATTTAGTCACTTAAGTTTTTTGAAACAAGGTCTCATGTATCCCAGGTTGGCCTGCTTTCATCTCCTGAGACTGGGATTGCAGAGCTGTATCACCATGGCCATGAACCCAGGGGCCAATGGAGCCACATCACCTCGTAGTTTTTAAACTTTTAAAATGAGTCATCTTTAATTTCGTGCTATGAGTGCCAGTGCTCAAAGACGTCAAAGGAGGGGTCCCTGGGACTGGATTACAGATGAGCTGCCATGTAAGTGCTGGGGCTTAAATTTGCGTCCTCTAAGGGCAGCCTGTGCTCCTAACCACCTAGTCATCCCTTCTGACCCTGGAGTAGTCTCTGTAAGAGTCGTGGGAGTAGGGGAAGGACGCAAGCCTCCAGTAGTTATGACAGACAGGTTTCTGTTTGTCTGGGTTGTACAGGGCATCTGTACATCCTGGCTGTCCTGGAATTCACTGCTTAGACCAGACTGGTCTCAAACTCTTGCTTCCTGTGTGCTAGAATTAAATATGTACTCTACCATGCCTGGCTTAAGGTTCTCTTAAGGTTAAATGTTTTTCCATTACCTGTACACTCTTAGGAAATTTTCAACAAATTTTAAATAATTACAAATTATTTTTCTGGGCTGGGTATATAGTTCAGTAGCACAGCAATGAACTGGTATGTGTGAGGCCATGACTATGTGCCCAGCACAACAGAGGGAAATAATTCATCACATTAAATGTTTGGAGAAGAGGGTTTACACGCAAAGAGAAAAAAAATCTTTGTTCAATCATCTCATAAACAGAACTCTTCAATGTTTTTCATTCTAAAAAGGTATTTTTATTCATACGTGCATGTGTGTGTATGTATCTAGAGAGGCCAGAGAGGCTGTCGGATCCCTTGGAACTGGAGTTAAAGGTATCTGTGGGTCTGAGTTCCAGTCCTCCTGACTGTAGCAAGAGCTCTGAGCTGCTGAGCCAGCTCTCCAGCCCCTCCCCCCAACTGTTTTCAATAGTTCCTTTTTCCTTCTAAAAGTAATTATACACAATTAAAATGTACAGTTACTTACAAAGAATATTTTAAAGTGTCATCTAATTCCATGATAGCAGCCTGATTTCCACAGCGGTAGCAGTAATTGGGCGCACTAAAAATGGTAACCACATTCCGATCATGGCACCAATTATAACCCTGCAACAGTGAGAAAGGTCATTGTTTCATTACAGAATTCAAGCTTGACACAGCAAACTCAAATCACACAAGTACTTCTGGTTATGTAGTCAAGTTACCCTCTATGATCTGACAGTTTATATACCTGCTCAGAATACTGTAACTTTTCTTAACCTACACTTCAGATGTGTGTGTGTGTGAGTGAGAGAGAGAGAGAGAGAGAGAGAGAATTTTGCTATTTAATAGGTCACAGTAGTCTCAAACTTACAACTGCCCTAGCTTTCCAAGTGCTCAGACATGACAGAAACTACCTGGCTTGCAAAGTCTGCTACATAAATCTTGAAGCTAGTATTAGGCAGACGGCAACTTAAAGTAAGCTTCTGAAGAGCTGAGCCAATGTTCGTTAGTAATGGCCTCGCTAATCTCTAACAATTACCTGCACCAAAGCCTCTCACTTACATCACAACTGAAATTTGATTATCTTCAAATTTCCTAGTCTCCAACTTTTAGGAAAGTAAAAGTCTTTTAGCAAAGTAAAAGTCATTACTTTAAAAAAAAATACATCCAGTCATCATTGACATACATGATGCTATAATAATGAGGTTTAATATCACTACATGGACACTGCTCCTTGCCTGTTCTGGGCTGGCCATTCCTTGCTGGTGTAGAGGGACCATGTACGTTCTCTTTTGTTCTGTCAGTAGTGACAGTACTACAACAGAAGCTGCGGCAGGTGCCGCCTCAACACCTGCTATTGATCAGTTATTAGGACCAGCAGGGGACAGATTTTAAATCTCCTTGATGCAATGCACCAAGGATGCATCATCCCTCTGCAGTATGCATCTCAAGCATGCATGTAGTAAATCCACAGGATTCTCTGGAAGAGAAGAGTGTGCTTTTGTCTGCTGAACCATCTCTCTCTCTCTCCAGCCCCTACCAAGGGGACTTTATTTAAGGGCGTCTTCTTATACAGCCTACACAGGCCTGAAACTCATGACCCCCTCTGCTTTGGCCTCCTAAATATTGGGACTACAAGCACCCACCATGCCCAGATTTAGAAAACCATTTCTTATAAAACAAAACTTTGGTCACTTCCAAACATCAAGAACACATAAAGAAAATCTGAAGAATTACTTCCACTTGTAACCTGGATTGTTATACACACTGTAAAAATTAAACTTTGTTACAATAATCTGTCAAGTATTTTGGCAGGAAACATTCTGAAACCAAAGGAGACATTCTGACTGAAATACGGGTTACAACAGAAAATGGCTTTAGCAGAACAGACATGGAGATTTGGGGTAAGAAGCTAGTCAAACAAATCAAGAGTGGGGAGAGAGGAGAAAAAACGAGAAAGATACTTAGGCCTCATTACAAATGCACAGAACCATGAGATAAAGGCATTCTGCAGGAAAGTACATACTTCCATGACAAGCTGGTGAGCGCGAGACACCAGTGTGAGACCGTTGGCATGGTTAAATGTTTCAGAAATATCTTGTCCAAAGGTATAGCCAGCACCACGTGGTGAAATGCCCCATCCACCACGGTCATCTGGATCTGACCATAAGAGATCACACATTGGGCCCTGGTCAAGGAGAACAGATACGCATTATGAATTATTAACAGTTATGTTTAGCTTTATCACAGGTAATTACATTATCTTGTTAAAATCAAAACAAAAACACCACCAAATTTACCTCATGTGGAACTTCTTGTAAACGATCCAGGGCTCTTATATGATCCAGTGTGTCTATGGATGGAGACAGGCCACCATGGAGGCAGAATATCTGTTTATAAATTAATGAGGATTAAGTAGTAGCTGTGTTAGCCCTGACAGCTCCCCCGTCCGCTCCTGCTGCCCCCCAAAATAGCATTAACTGAAAAACTTGTCAATTACAGCGCAAAGTAGACTCAGACCGCCAGCAACAGCCTCAACAGTACTGGGAGTGGGGGTTTCCTTTTCTCCCCTCGCGGTACCAGGGGTCTGAGGGCCTTCTGCAGGCTCTACTACTGTGCGGGTCCAGCCGCCTCACCCCAGCTTTATTCAGTGCTGCTGGCAAGTAGGATCCTCACCCTCATCACCTGTCACTGGTTTCTGTCACGTACTCCTGATTATAAAATTGTGTTTGATTCAGACATCACGTCTTACTGATTCCTGCTATTGATTACAATAGGTTTTTAGTTTTCCTGAGACTGAGTACATCACCACATTTGCAGGTTATTTTCTATACAGTTTATCATCTTCAATTCCTTTTTATGTGTGTGGGGCACATCTAATAGAGGGGACAACCTTTGGGAGTCTGTTCTCTCCTTGCACGCTATTTATTGAGCCAGCGTTCCTGCACACTATTCCTGTTAACTGTATGTAGTACGCATGGACATGCAGGTCTACACATGAGTGGGTGTGTGCACACATATATGTAAGGCCTAGGGTTAGTACCGGATGTCTTTCTTGATCACTCTCTATGACTGTGGCAGGTCTTGAGGCCTGCTTAGTTGGCTACCTTAGTTAGCTTGCCTTGGGAATCTCATCCTGGGGAGAGGGATCACAGGTGGACACTGTGCCCCATGGATGCTGGGATCTGAACTCTAGTCTTCGTGTTTGCAAAACAAGTACTTTATCTGCTTATAAATTAAGAAGAAAATGTTCACCCACTGGGCCACCTCCCTGTTGTCTTTCTTCAGTTCCTTGACTATAGGCAGTGCACTTCTAGGACTTCTGACATAAAAGGACAAGTATTTTTAAAAAACTTTTCTCAGGACTATCCTCTGAAGACTGAATCAAAGAGAATAATGACAATTTTAGTAACAGTTTCTCATTTATTAACTGACAGGGTCATGCTATGTAAGTAGCCCAGGCTGGCTTAAAAGTCATCAGTTCTGCCTGAAGCCCTGGACGCTAGGGTTCTAGGTCTACACGCTGCACCCAGCCCTCTCTCCTGGAACGCTAGGGTTCTAGGTCTACACACAGCATCCAACCCTCTCTCTTGGTTTACAAGCTGCTTGTTTCCTTCCAGGACTCTAAGCCTGCTTGGTTATCTATTTCATTTCTGAGGAGCTCATGTCCTCCAGATAACACTTCATAGATGATAACCTGTCATAATAGTGTGTATGTGCTGGGTGTTTTGTTTCTTATAAATACTTTAAAACAGCAAAGACTGAGTTTGGG